GGCGCACTGCAGTGGGGCTGGTGGTGCCCCGAGCTTCCTTGGTGTGCATCTGGATGGCTCCTGTGGGCCTCACACACCAGGTGTTGTGTTGCTCTCTGTTGACAAAAACCAGAGTGTGGCCTTTCTGGGGGAGGTCATAGAAACGCTCTTCATTTTGTCCTAAAGGGAAAAGCTCAAGTCTGTTTTGGCTCATTTTTGTTTTCTTAGTGATAGGAAATACGCTAATGCTGTTTCTTTGGTGTATTTGTTTATTTTGTTTGGAGTCATCCATGCTGATGTCTAAATACAATGGGAAAACAGATGGCAAACTTTGAACTTCTGGACCAAATTTGTGTTTTCCTTTGTCTTCTAAACAGCCAAACTGTAAATTATGGAGTATAAATATTCAACAGAGGGGCTCTTTACAAAAATCACCCCAGCAGAATAAGCCCTTGTTAATAACCAGACAGGCATCAAAAAGTACTTGGGCTAAAAAGTGTTCTTCCCCATCCTTTCAGGTCCGCACTAGGAAGCAGTGCAGCTCGTGCCGAGCAGAGCAGAGCACCGCTCCCAGCCCTCCTGCCCTGTCACTCCTCTACCCAGGCAGCCGTAGCTCTCCTACCCTCAGATGCCGCAGGATGTGTCTGCGTGTCAGCAGAGGGACACTGGGCCCTCACAGTCTATCTCTTGTCCTCTCTGCTTCTGTCCAGTCCCAGGTCCATGCCCAGAAAGTGGGGGAGCATGCAGCACACCCCTGTAAGAGCTCGTGCTTACAGGCCCTAGCAGGGCCGAACTAGTGTTCTAGACATGAGTGAGTTCTTTCTTCTGGAACTGCATGGCAGAATCTGGACTAAGTGGCAAGAGCCGCTTTTCGTCCCCTCCTCGGTTGCCAGGGTAACTACTCTTATCATCTCCATCCTGGTCTTAGGGTTTCTTCAGTTTTACTTGCACACACACAAAAAAAAAATGGCACAAAGGAGAAGTAGAGCTCCTGGCCAGCCTCGTCAGCTGGGGTGCTGCACAATTGCCGCTCCCGGGACACATAACCCCCCCATCCCCAGTGACCACCGTCGGGGTAGAGAGCTGCCTCATCCTGCCACAACTGTGCAGGATGGCGTGTCTGGGGGGATGGAATTGCTTTAACTAGCACTCAGTTGATGGAGCTAGTAAGTTTTGCCATCTGTGTGCTGACAAACTAAAAGTTGCTCATTTTTCCTGTCAGCCTAATTATCACTCTGTAATAGGTAGTGTCTTTTCCCTTCAGATTGCTTTTAAGGCTGCTTTTAAAATGTCTGACATTTACCCTCTCGATTATGATACTCTGAAATAGATGTTTTTGTTCTGACTAGCGCTACTTGAGTGTTTTGGATGCATGTTTTATTGATTCTGGAAAAATAATCTGCCATTTACTCTTTGACTAGTACTTTGCCATACATTGTCTTTCTCCTAAAACTTCACCAACACCAAAGTCCTGCAAACTTGGCAACCCTTTTCTCATAGATGTTCCAATTCTTAATCTATTATTTCATTTTTGCCTTTTCAGAACAAATACATAGTGTAATATGTGGAACACAGAGGTCATTTTTTAGGTTTAATAATTCACAAGTTCTTTATCCTGCTTTTAGCCTATGTAATTAATGTTAGTGACTGTAAAGCAAGAATGTCCCCTCTGTTGGGGGGCCTCAGTCTGAGAACCTTGCCCCCTGTGTTCCTGTGTGTGTAAGATGCACCCGCTGAGACAGGCTCTGCCCACACCTCAACCAACACCCCCCACCCCCGCGTCAGCTGAGGTAGCACTGGCCCCCACCCCCCAGGCTGGTTTCTAGCTTGGCCCTGGCAGGGCCTCCGCCTGAGTGTCAGGTCCAGGCCGCTTGCTTTGTGGGTGGGCAGCTGTTACATCTTCCGCAGCAGGGCGACAGTTGTCTTTGACAAGAACCCGCCTTCCACTACTGAAGATGTGCTGGGCAGTGCGCGCACAGGAAACTAGTGGAGAGGGTTTTTTTGGTAAGGGTTTATTTTTACATCATTTTGTACTTTTTTTTTTTTTTTCATCTCAATTGTAATCCCCGTGGGTTTCCCATCATCAAGTCACCTGTGTGCCATCACCATAGTCCTGTGCACTTCCCTCCCTGCCCCCATTTTTGATCCCATTCCCCACTCCACCCCCACAAAATGTCTCTGGTATATGGCTGTTCATTATTATTATTTTCTCCCCTGATCCTTTAAACTCCTGCTATGAGTGAAACCATCTGGTATTTTTCTTTCTCTTTCTGGCTTATCTCACTAAGCATGATCTTTTCCAGCTCCATACATGTTGCTGCAAAAGGCATGTGTTTATTTTTTAGTTGCTGAGTAATATTCCATTGTGTATATGTACCACATCTTTTTAATCCAGTCATCTACTTTTGGGCTGCTTCCATGTTTTTCCAATTGTAAATAAAGCAGCAATAAACATGGGGGTACAGGTATCTTTTTTCAATCAGTGTTTTTGTGTCTTTGGGGTAGATACCTAGGAGTGGGATTGCTGGGTCGTAGGGAAGCGCCATGTTTAGCAGTTTGAGGAACCTCCAAACAGTTTTCCATTGTGGTTGTACTAGTTTGCATTCCCACCAGCAGTGCAGGAGAGTTCCTTTTTCTCCACATCCTCGCCAACATTTGTTGTTGCTAGTTGTTTTAAGATGTGCCATTCTCACTGGGGTGAGGTGTATCTCACTGTGGTTTTAATTTGCATCTCCCTTATTACAAGTGATGTTGAACATTTTTTCATATGCTTGTTGGCCATCTGCATTTTCTCTTTGGAGAAGTCTTTTTAGCTCTACTGCCCATTTTTTGATGGGCTTGTTTATTTTTGTTGAGTTTCATCAGTTCTCTGTATATTTTTGTGATCAGTCCTCTATCACTACTTTTGTGTGAGAAAATGTTTCCCCAATTAGTGGGCTGTTTGTTTTTAGTAATGTCTTTTGCTGTACAGAAGCTCTTTAACTTGATGTAGTCCCATCTATTAATCTTTGCCTTCACTATTGTGGCGTTGGGTGCTCTGTCTTTAAAGATGTCGCTGAAGTGTATGTCGTGTAGTGTTTGACCCATCTTTGCTTCTAGGTATTTTATGGTTTCCGTTCTTATGTCTAGGTCTTTAATCCACTTCAAGTTGATTTTTGTGACTGGAGTGAGGCAGTGATCTAGTTTCATTTTTTTTTTTTTGCATAGAGCTTCCCAGTTTTCCCATACCACTTGCTGAACAAACTTTCTTTGTTCCATTGTATCATCTTTGCTCCTTTGTCAAAAATTAGCTGTCCATAAACTTGTGGGTTTATATCTGGGTTTTCTCACTCTGGGTTTTGTGTGGAGAAAGGTCTTTCCCATTCTGAACATTTAAGGAAGTTACAGAAAGTGGACTTTGTCTTTAAAAATGTAATCAAACTACAGTTTGTAGTTTGTTAAATCTGGATGATAAACTTGTCTAATTGCGGCTAATGTTTAAACGTGAAATAGCCTAGCTTCGGAGGTTCTGCTTCACCTCCCGGCGATGCTGGGCCTGCGCGGCTGCCCTCTTGGGTGCGGGGCGGTTGTCTTTTTCCTTTCCTCGCAGACTGCAGGCGGCTGGCCCCCGCAGCCCTCGCTGCCTGCCTCCGCTCAGCGTGTGGACGGCACATGAAGGCCTTGTGCCGGCTCTTCCTTCCAGGACTGTTGTTCCTTGACAGCTTTCCCAGTTTGCACTTTATCTCTTGGGGGTTAGTTTTGGCAGTTCTCATTTCCGACAAATTCACCACTCAGCTAGGTTATTTAAAGATCAACTAAAGAAGCAGAAGTACTATTTTAAAAAAACTGCAGAAAAGAAATTACATCCACTTAGGTTTGGGGTTTGTTTCTGGGCAGATGTTACCCAACATTTGTAACTGCCCACTGTCACAAAGTACTCAGTGCTCTCTGCCCTGCATTCTGTCTACCTTTCTGGTCAGTCTCTTCCTTCTCACCTGCAAATAAGCGTGTCCTTCACACAGACCAGCCTTGCTCTGTGGCAAAGGATCTCACTGCAGCCTCTCCCTGGTTCCCATACATGGTTTGTGTGTGTGCGCGCGTCAGCCCTTTCTGGTTTTTTCTTTCAGAAAATGTCTACTGGTAGCTCACTTTTCTGTCTTGAAAAAAGTCAGTATGTCTTCAAGTTTGGTAGGGCAAGGCAGAGAATGTTCAGCTCAGAGTGGATGTCAGACCTGTAATAGATGTCAGGCAGCGTGTAGGGTCCCTCCTGAGCGAGTGTGGTTAGCATGCACCACTGTGCGTGTCTAGTGCCCCTGGAGGCAGTGGGGGCCCCTCAGGGCAGCAGTTGTCTTTCCCCTGGACTTGAAGTTCAGGCCCTCTGCACTGACAGACGCCACACTCGATGCAGCACTTGTGGCTTAGGTCCTGAAACGTGTCTGGTGGTGTCTCTAGTGCATAGAGGGGTTTCTGCTCGCTAATTGTCTTGTGTGGGGTTTAGTGTGGGTACTTTATATAAGGTATTTTAAGAGGTTCTAAAAGATTATTACAAGACTTTAGTGACTGCCAACTGTACATGATTCTATTATGCTTAGTCACTGAAGATGCCATCCCAGCCCCCAAACTTCAACAAGTAATACGGAGTCAGATACCCAGAGTGCATTATTTTTCCAATCAAAATTAGGGTTTGGGTTTCAGGCAAATGTTCAGACTTACCTCTTGCCCGTAGAATTTTACACTGCCATCAGAATGACCACGCTGGCTGTCCACTCTCCCTTCGGCCGTCTGCAGAGGGGTGGCCTTGTCCAGGCTCTGCCTGGCGCAGTGAGCAGTCAGCCAGCGTGCTTGTCCCAGGTGCTCTGAGATCATGCCTATTGCATCTTGACCTATAAAACCTTTATCTCCTCATCAGCCTTTAGGTGCACCCACAGGAGTCCTGTGTTTTTATGGGATTGTTGTGAACAGACCAACACCACCGAGGAGTAATTTGTCACTTCCTTACTAATGTCACTACCCCTTCTCTGGGCTCATCTCGGGCCTTCCAGGGTGAGGATTCATGACCTACGCACCGACAAAGTCGCCCTGTCGATGTCAGCCCACCAACTCGGCGTCTCCGCAGTGCAGATGGACGACTGGAAAGTCGTCAGTGGAGGCGAGGAAGGCCTAGTCTCTGTGTGGGATTATCGGATGAACCAAAAGCTGTGGGAGGTGCATTCTAGGTAAGAGTCATGGTCATTGTGGTCCTGACCCACCAGTGTGCCCTCACTTGACCTAGGGCTGCCTGCTGTTATCCCCAGATGAGGAAACTGAAGCTTGGCAGTTGAGTTGTCGTCTACTTCAGTGGGAAGAACATGAGCAACAGCCTTCCTCTGGTGATTCTGACACATTCTGGTGCAAGGGATTGTGCAAGGTGAAGGAGCTCACTCTCATCTGCCAGGGCCTCACCTTTGTCCTCTAACTCAAAGTGAGCCCTATGCAGAGGCCGTGTGGTCTGCATTTCAACTACATGGTTAAAAGAAAAATTCGTTTCTTCCTTGGAGGGCAGTGAAATGAGTGCTTCTGTCAGCAGACTAAGGCCTGTCCAGCCTTTCTTTCCTCAGCAAACCCTTTTTCTCAAGTACATGGCAGTGCACTGAGTGACCAGCAGGTGGTGCCCACAGGCAACCAAAACGCCACACCTGCGAATCCCAGAACTATTGATACTTGCTTTAAGGAAATCCATTTAAAGAGCTGCTCCACCTGGCGGTAGGGCCACCGGCTGAGTCCCGGCCTGGGACTGCCCCCAGCAGTTCTGTTTCTGTGGCCTGGATGCCAGAAGTGCTCTCAACTTTTCTCCCTGACAAGCTGGACTCCCTGGGATGGTCACAGGTGAGAAGCCAGGGGAAGGGCTTGTAATGCACATGCAGGCCTCACCGCCAGCCAGGTCGCTTGTCTTCTGCCACACGGCCTGCGTCTTCCTGTGCTTGCCATTCTCCGGTTGGTGGCTCTGGACTGACAGTGCAGGGCTCAGACGGACGCCCCATAATTCTCCAATTCTGGGACTCCTCTGCCAAAAGCTTTTCTTGACCTCCCCACCCCCCAGAGCAGGACGCACTCATCCCTCCTCTGAATTCTGTGTGGCTGTTTTGTGGGCGTGTATCTTACCTTTGTAACAGGTTAGGAGCCTCCCTGATGGTTACTTGCACTCAGTGCTGTCACAATAGTAGTTACTAGATGTTTATAAAATGGACAAAAGCATTTGCCACATAAACTCAAACTTTCTTGTGCAGGGTTTGTGAGTGGGCACACACAACCCTTTAGGATTGCTGCTCCTTGCCCCTTTGCAGAGGGAACACCTGGCTCACAGGACTGCCTTGTCTGAGGCTGGCCACAAGGGAGCTGTTCTCTCCCACACACGGCTGAACTGTGTCAAGTTATCTGTCCTCTGGGACAGGTGGCGGGAAGGGTGAGAAGGGTGGGTGAGGGAATTCATGTAAGGTCCAGGGGAGGAGGAGTGGGGTGAAAGAAGGGAAGTGTCAGGGAAAAGGTAAGTCAAGGGAAGTGAAAACGAAGGAAAAGAGAAATAGAAAGGCCAGTTAAGGGAACAACTGAATGGGGAAAGAAGGGCGAACAGAAGGGAAACACTGGGGGTGGGGAGGATGAGGGAAAGGTCTAGTCTGGGGCATGGTCGAGGAGAGTGAGGCTTGGGGGCAGCACATGAGGAGGGCCTAACGCAGGGTCAGGGGACACGCGAGGAGAGGAGGATCAAGGTATGTCAAGAGTCTGGGATGAGAAGGGAAGGAGTCAGTGAAGGGAAACAAAGAGTCAAGGAAGGCAAAATTCAGTGGTAGGAAGGGAAGAGGTAAGGAAGCAACGGAAAAGGCCATGTCATTTGATAGTTCAAATGAAAGTTGAGTCAAAGTTCAAGGGAAGGAACTCGAAGTGAAGGAAGCTTTGGGATCTGTGCTGCAGCAGTGGTGTGGCCTCACCAGAACTCCCCTGTGTTGCAGACACCCTGTGAGGCACATCTCCTTCACCAAGCACAGCCTCATCACAGCCAACGTGCCCTACGAGAGGGCAGTGCGCAGTGCTGACCTGGACAGCTTCGCCTCTCACAGGAGGTCAGTTGGTGGGTCTGGACCTGGGGGTGCTCAGAAAGGGCCATTTCAGTTTGATTTTATCTGTGGCCACAGACCAGCCATTTCCCTGGGCGCACAGGAAGTGTTCCCTGGCGCTGGCTGGGTCTGTGCTCAGTCACTCAGAGAGGGCAGGCCAGGCCACACACTGGGAGCCCAGGGTCTGCTGATGTCCATTGCTGCAGCTTGTCTGCTCACCTCCAGTCTTGGGCTTCTAGTGTTCGGTACAGGGACCCCACCGCCCCTCTAGGCCTCCTCCGGGTCTGCTGGGCACTGTGGGAGGCCCCGGGACTTCAGGCCGTCTCCATGTCTGCCTGTGAAGATGGAAGTGCCCTATGGAGTGGTGCTGACTTGTTTAGGGAAGTCATAGCCCTCGTGGGCCTGACAGCTTCGTAGGTGTTTTTCGTGCAGTGGCTGCAGGTACGGGGGTCACTTGTACTTGTTAAAATGAGCTGACGCCCCCTCTCTGCCTTCTCTAGACATCGGGGGCTCATCCACGCCTACGAGTTTGCAGTCGACCAGCTGGCTTTTCAGAGCGTGCTCCCCATCTGCTGCTCCTCCTGTGACTCTGTGGCAGGCTGCAGCTATGACCTGGCGCTGGCTTTCCCCCGCGACAGTATGTAGGGAGGAGTCTCGCGGGGGCAGCGAGAGTAACGGCGTCGGGCTCACATGGTGGGACGAAAGCAGCCCGCACTCCGCAGCTGCCTCCCTCTCCTGTCCCCTCATGCTTGTTCGTGGTGCTCTCCCCTCTCCGGGGGCTGGGAGCACCCTAAACTGACACTGCAGATCAATGCCCTGCCCCCTCCTCCTGTTGCCCCAGCTGCCGGGGGCCTTCGGACACACGGGGCTCTGAGGCTGGGAGTGGGGAGCGGGGTGTTGCCCTCCCAGACACCCTCACACTGCTGTCCTGCGGTATTCAGTACTTTTTCCTCCTCATGTCTTTACCACAGTTTATAACTATATATTTATACAATTCTTTTATTAATAACTATTTTGCTTACGATTATGTCTACAACATGTGCTACAAAAATTAGATATTTTCTATATTCACTGAATAATCCTCCAGGTGGGGGTGGAGCCCACACTGCAGGAACCATGGCGTGGAGAGGCGCCACTGTCCCCCTGGGGAGCGTGTCCCTGGCAGCCAGAAACTGAACTACAAAAGTGCACGCTCATAGCGCGCAAAAAAATTAAACTCGTCAGGTTTATACTTCCTGTCTGACAGACACCTGTACATTTTGTACCTTTTCAACTATCTGAAGACAATGTGGGCCCGATCCAGGGATCCTTGATGCAGCTGTTAGAAATCAGCAGAATAAAAACATTCAAAACCCACGCACTCCTGAACTAACTTGGCGGTCAAGAGGGGAACGGGGCGGGGCCGCACCACCTCTGCCGGGCAGCAGGAACGAGCAAGCCAAGAGCAGTTTTCTGAGACAGAAAGTACAACTTGATTTAAGAAAAGGCCCAAGGGAGGCTCAGGAGAGGAGCGCTGTGGGCAGCGAGTGGGAGGCCCGGGGGGCTCGCTGAGGGGCTCGCCGCTCCCCGCAGCCCCCTGCCTTCAGCAAGAAGCCGGGGGCACCGAGCCAATGAGGTCTATCACTTCCCCCGCTGGCATATGGTGTCTTGTGCCCCCATGACCATGCTTGAGAGGTTTTCCTCAGTGCCACTCCACTCATCTCTTTATCTCTCTGTATTGTATAGCACCATTTGGTTTTGTACAGTTTGCTTTCTAATTCCCACCACAAGTCCCACTAGTCTCAGTCCAACTGAAACACTGGGTTCAATTTTTTCTCTTAAGCAGCAATCCCTTCCAGTCTTACTTCACAGAACACTTTGCAAGTAGTCTCCCACGCCTAAATTTCCAGCAACTAAAAATAATTAAACTTGAAAAATAGTTTTTAGACTGTTACTCACTGCCAAAAGCTGGTCCAGCAGAAAAATGAGACACGCACGGGACCCTCTGGTTTCCCAGCCTGTTCGTAACGCGCCCTTTGGTGAGCGTGGCCCGGAGTCCTTCGGCTCCAGGCAAGCCGACCTCAGCCAGCCTCTTCTGCTACAACGTTAACTGGCCCTGCAGGGAGAGGGTAACGGTGCCTTATAAGCCAGCCTTTACGCGAGAGTTTAAAAGCCTATCTCCACCCCTCCATCTCCATCCCTGGTGGGCTGTTTCGAGGGCGCGTCTCTGCAAGTGCCGGGGGTCCAGCGGGGTCTACACCTCTTTGTAGCTCTGCTACTTCCCTGACACTCCCCCCCCGTGTCCCCCTTAAAGACAGAAGACTCAGAGCTGTTGTGCGAGCCAGAGGGCCCGGCTCCAGAGTGTGTCTTAAAACTGACTTTGGCTTTCTACACATTTTTCAAATGTGTCCCACCACAGCCAGGTGCAGGGAAACACCACCTGCCCTGCTGGCCGGCCCTGTGCTCAGTCTGCACTTTTCCCCAGAGCCACCACTACGGGGCTGCTTAGCCCGGGCCACAGGAGGACGCTGTGGAGCGTGGCAGCCTGCAGTGCCTGCAGCCCGGGAAGCGCATCCGCCGCCAGATGGCGCTGCCC